AAAAAAAAAAAAAAGCTTCTGCAAACATGCTTCGGAAAAGTATCCAAGACCTGCATCTGTTATATCAAGCTTCCGATGCTTCATAGAAAGAAAAGAACCAGGTTGTGATATTTCTATTCTGCCCCATAAAATTCCATCCAGGCTTGGCTAAATCATGAATTTGCTAACTCCTCTGGCTAGTTTGTTTCCTTAGGAGAAGTTACATGAATCAAAAAGCATTTAAAAGATGTTACTTCTACACTCTAAAGTTTCCTTAAATATGTTCTGCTGCTTACCTTTACCCTCACTATGTAAGACCTATAGCTTAGGTATACCAGCAGGCTTTTCTCCACTGCCATTCAAATTCCCTGGTTACTTTAGAAGAGCTACCACTGGAGTGAAGAAGCTGTGTACCATCTGCACCTCCCTCAGGATCCTCTAAGGTCTGGAGTGCCTTCAACGCCCTGCCTAGGCCACCCCAACAAACACAGTCTTAGGGCAGCTTCTTCAGTACCTGCTTGCCCTGCAAAGACTTTAGCATGTATATAGAGGGCCAGGAAGAGGACAAATCACTATATTAACCTACAATTAGATTTCCACAGTGAGTATTGTACCTAATTCATTTAGTCATTAACCACTTCACATTTCAAACTCGGAATTTTCCTAAATAATTTTATCTTAGAATTGAAGAGATTAAAGTAGGTATTGCCAAACTTGACAAAGAAATGTTATGGTACCCATAAAAAAAGAGAGGGGTAAGAGGAGAAAAAGTGTAAAAAGAAAAGGAAGAAAACACTCAGAGGCAGATGCTCCTATTCAGAAAGCAGTTACTCAAGGGCTCAATCATCAGGATAACTCCTAACCACCTACCATTTGGTAACTGTTCAGTGTTACTCAAACTTCTGAGAAAGGCAGCAGATCTTCATTCAGCACTGAACCAACAGAATAGCTACCACATTCTCTACAAAAATCATTCAAATGTATTGAATGATGAAAAGCAGCTTTCCTTTAGCAGCTTTATCACATCAGCAACAAAGAGTCACCTGTGATCTTGCTACTTGAAATTACTTAAATTATCATCATTATATTTTGCTTCATCAAACATTAATTTCACCAGGTAAAGAGATTTTGCAGTATAGAAATAAAAAAAACAGGAAGCTGTTTTAAAGCTAGGGTAATAACTCCAATGAATCTTTTACGTAAGCTGTAACTCCATATTCAGCTAATGTACTTTGCCTTCAAAAAGAATATAGTAATTTTGGGGTCATACTAGTGATACTATTCATTTGGGGAATCAGAATCAGGTTTGCATAATGAATCTCAACTATAGCTGTAGATTTACTAATTTAAAAACTGTGTTTTCTTATCATGTATAAAGAACATGGGAAAAGCATATTTAACTTAAAAACAAATAAAGAAAAAAGGAATGTAAAGTTCCAGTAAATTTTAAGGAACTCTACAGGTTCCATGTTAACGTGCCTAACTCAGACTTATGAATCTTTAGAAAAGAAAAAAAGTTAGCAAAAAACAAATAAAGAAAAAAGGAATGTCAAGTTCCAGTAAATTTGAAGGAACTCTACAGCTTCCATGTTAACATGCCTAACTCAAAGACTTACGAATCTTTAGAAAAGAAAAAAAAGTTAGTATCTGTCAATCTGTTAATGTTCAGTCATCGATCCATTTATTTCCTGATTGAAAAGAGCAAACAAAAAATACCAATGTGCTCACCACCAATTTCCTTCCATCTTTAGGTGACACACACAAAAAGTAACTCCATGCCAATTTCAAAGATGTTTGGCTCTAGAAGAAGTTTAAGTTATTTTCATAGTAGAACCTGGCCACAGCTTTTATGCAACAAGCGTAACATTGTCCCTGTAAAAGACATGAGTCAAAGCATTTTCTAAAGATACAGAATTTACACATTCAAATAACTTGTGTTCAAAACACTGCAGCTAATAACTTTGTGGACAACATTTATTAATGTAAGTACCTTCCTGCTGGTCTTCCTCTTCTTCACTAGATGAAGCCAAGTAAGCCTGAAAATCCATGTCCAGAAGTTCCTCTTTATTAAAAGTTCTGCTAAGTGACGTTACTCGTTCATGATCTGTCTCATCCCACGTGATATCTACCTTAAAAACAAGAATGCCACTTGTAGACACTGAAACACTAAAATTAAACACTGTAACTCCGTCTTTTTTTGGGGAAAATTATTTGATACCTTCCATTTAAGAAGTAAGGTAGACCTGTTATTCATGTTCCCTACAGCAATTAGCTATAAAAATTCACAAAAAAAAAAAAAAAAATTACAACTTTTTGAAATTTGTTCTATGGTGAGTTTCAAGGAGTTTTAACTATGTGAAAGAATGAAGAAGTCTCCTCATGCACTAAAGGGTTCTGTAACAGGTGGTCACACAAGAAATTTCTGTGAGCCAAATTTCTTTTGTGGCGGCAGATACTGATGTTGAAGCAGCCACCAAGTCCTCTCCTTTCCTCTTCCGGCAGCAACTCATTCCTGGGGTGGCATATGGATTGCAATGGGTACGATGAAAGTGTTTGCACAACTGCATCCTCAAATGGAAGATGAAACAGATCTGACTGAAAATTGATCCAGCAGAAATTACTTATTTCTCAACTCCTCACTTCTCCAAACTGGTTCATTTCATGGATAGATAAAAGTTTTGGCTGTCAGCTAAGACAGGGTAGGAATGAATAGCTGCAAGGGGGGGAAGCAATTGTTTAAGCCCAGCACTACTACCAAAAAGACTATTGCTGATCTACACACAAATATTCATTTTAGGCAAATTAGAAGATTTAACTGTGATTAACAACGTAACTCCATGTGCAACTTTTAACTGAGGTATAATCAGGTCAAAATATACTACATAATTTGTAACAATGAAGCCAATCTCTTAAAATCCCAAATTCGACCTTATTTATGGGGTTGCAACTTGTGTCTGTAACACACATCTTTTAATACATCTCATGTCTTTATTTTGAAAGGGTGAAGATAATCAGGAATCTTTTCCACACTACTTACATAATTTCTAAGTTGACAATAAAACTAAACAAATTAGAGAAACATTACAAAAACATTGTAAAGATACCTTTGATGTTCCCATAGCAGCAGATGTGAAGTACTTTGGTTTATATGCAGCTACGTTCACTTCTGAGGCGACGTCTTTTGGCTTGTCATCAAATGTAACGTTATCTGGAATAAATCTCAAAGGCAAGTAAAACATGTTATTCAAATACACTGGGAAATCATAGTATAAACACCCTAAGCTTTTCACAAGGATGGAACATCAGCACAGAAGAATTTGCTAACAGATAAAGTTGTTAAGCCTGAAAAGAAAACAAAAGAAACAGACAAGTAATCCGCACATTAGTGTCCCGGCGTCTGCACAGCTGTTCCACAGGTTTTTGACATGTAACACCATCGTGGTGGGGATGTAAACTAAACAGATTTCAGCCTGGTACTGGCAGGCTCAGGGGTAGTTTTCTAGGCGTTTTGTTTGTCTGTTTTAAGAACCATCTTTTCAGAAAACTTAATATTAAAAATTGAGAAGAAAGATTGTATAAAATTGAATTTGGAAGCAGAGAAATAAAAAAAAAATCAAAGCATTTCAGGAAAGCTGGCACATCTTTAACATTACAATTAATAGGGAAAAAAATGTTTAAAAGACCAAAGTTATGTGTAACAACAAGGTAAGATAGATTCAAAAAACCCTGTGTACTACATGAGAAATAACTTGGGCTTATTTTTTTCAATTATTGCAAATATAGTATGATCAATACTGTCCAACATTAAAATACAACACAGTAGAAGACCAGTAAAAGAATTGGAGAATTTTAAACAGCTGTGTGTTGTAGAACATTGACTTTCTATGTCTAAAAACAAGGTAAGATAGATTCAAAAAACCCTGTGTACTACATGAGAAATAACTTGGGCTTATTTTTTTTAAATTATTGCAAATATAATACGATAAATACTGTCCAACATTAAAATATAACACAGTAGAAGACCAGAAAAAGAACTGGAGAATTTTATACAGCTGTGTGTTGTAAAACATTGACTTTCTACGTCTAAAAACATGAAAAGTTACACGTTCATTTGGCAGAGAGCATCTTCCCCAGAATGGTTCAAAGCATGTGCATTAAGCTCCTCTAGGAAATGATTCAAAGCAGTAACTTTTCTTCCACTGCCTTCCAAGAGTGCCCATAACACAAGCCCCTGCAGACAAAGCCATCTTCTGTCAAAACTTATGATTCAGTTCTCTTCGGCTCAGACTAGAAGCCTTTTTTGTAAAACAAGGAAATGCTAACAATGAAGCACAATTATAATTTAAAATTCTTGCTCTCCCCAAATGTGACATTTGAAATATTAGAGCTTCCAGCTCATTCATAGGTTAGCAGAGTACTCTACTGCAGCGTCATGACAACAGCAGCGATATTCCTGCCCCGTAGCAAGTAATCCTGAAAAACAGTCATTTCTGAATCCCCGGGGGGAGATGGGAAGAGCAGCACTATGCTGTTTTGTTTTCTAAATCCCACCACTTTATCTTCAACCTTTTGGTATCTTTAAGTACAACCAGAACATTTGACCTGACTTCTCTGAGAATAATCTCTCTAGGTGGACAACCTCTCAAACTTTCCGAAGTCCAATAAAAATGCTCAAAAAGAAGAAAAAAAGAATCAAAGGGAAACCTAACAACTCACTGAATGCCCAATTCACGTATCGCATTTTGGTTACAGAATAAAGACAACATGGCTTACTCCAAAATGGTTTTAATTCTCCCCCTCCCCCCTCAACACATAACAAAGTCACCACTGGAGTTACCTCAGGTCTATGAAAGAACAGCTACTTTCAAATTCCAGTCCATCACATTCCTCATAAATTTTATTGGCTGTTTCAGGAGAATCACATTCTACAACTGCATAGAAGTATTTCAGTCGCTTAAATTGGTACTCCCGCAGTTTTTCTCTGTAGAGCCTGAAAAAGTGGAAAACAACCACAATCAAGTGAGCTGGCTTTAACTTTTCATTTGCAAAACATTTTGATTCAACTCATTAAAAATATATACCACTCAAACACTCTCCTAATCTTATCATAAAATTAGATGATAAACAGCATGAAGTTCTACCAGCACCTATTCAGTTTTACTCAAGTAAGAAGACAATTCAGAGAGCTGTAGGTGTATGCTTTCTGCATCTGACTGTGCTTCCCACAGGCACTCTAAGGTTAGAGTCCTTGTGCAGGGCAAAAAGTAGCACCTCTGTATGCCTCTGTGCACAGAAAGTACCGTTTAATAGTTTCTATCAAGCTGTTTGCAATTATCCTGGCTCTTAACAAGGCTGATGAAAAGGATGCTCGTACACAGGTAAGGGTACACGTTAAGAACAAGAGTAACTGGGAGGCTGTATGAACTGGAAGGATGCTGGAGAGAGATGGCAGGGATGAGGTCCTGTCCCGTGAATTTAAAGTGCACGTACACACGGATCACTCAGGTATCACTGGGGTATCTGGATTTCTGTTTGTTGTATTCCAGATGCTCTAGACCCCACTGAGCAGTACATCCAACACTCCAGGATGCACGCTGATGTACACAGTGAAGCTGACTTCATAATGCACTTCAGACTTTCTTCAAAGGGATCTGCACTTAGCATCCCGATTTTCCAAAAGATAAGGCAGTCTGGCAGGATGTATTATACAAAAGTGGCCACAGCCAGGCTGCCAAACATCTGGAAATTCTGGAAAAATATAAAAGGAAAACCTCTCAAGTTTCTTACAGACAAGACTTTCATGAAGAACAAACAGGGGAAAAAAAAAAGTCATGCCTGAAGAAGCCTGGGCAACGGTAGGCTGATGAGCTCAGCCCAGTAAGCCAGGGCTGCTGCAGGTGGCATTTAGGAAATCTCAGTCTGGGAATGCTTGGCCTAAGTTAATGTCCCTGTGGGCAGATCACATTTTTAACACTAAGCATCAACAGGAGTTTACTGCGTGAATGGCCATTTGTAGAGGAAAAACGCTACGTTAAACTCTCCACACATTTGTTCCATTTATTATTCCAACGAGCTACTTAATAAGTTTTGAACTCAACTATCAACAAGCAAATTTTCTCACGTTTCATTATAATGCATTTTTTCAATGCACTGACAATGAACCAGGGTCAGTTGTAAAATATCCCTTGAAAAAGCTGTAAAAATTAAGGCGTTCACAGGGGACTTCCACATAACGAAATTTGGGACACAGAAGGTGATTGGGATTTTCACTGAAAATTAGACATATTGTATCCCTCATCTGAAGATAAAGTTAATACCCATCGTTCTCTGTGGTATTCTCTGGAAGATCAAACAGTTCCATGGGTCCTTTTTGTTCCTCCTCTTTCAATCTCTCTTTTCCAAACTCGGAAGGATAAATCTAAAAATACAACAACATAAAAGTAATTTTTTTTAATGGTAGCAGCATAGTACATCAACTAGGAAAAAAATATCTCAACAAGCCTTTTAGACTTTCTCTTCTTTTGTCCAATAAACTCAGTAAAGGGATCAAGTCCATAAACTTCAATACCATCTTAACTTTGAATTACAGAAGACAGTAGAATAAACAAACTGCCGTATTTTGGGAGAGATGAAAACCAATGGGAACCCCGACTTTGTTCATTTCACTGTGGCCCTTTTCAGAAAGGGTTATTTGACTACCATTTCCCAGAAAACTGGAACCAGACACTAAAAACGGAAAAACACCACTTAACTGATCAGAATTTAACAAGTTTATTAATAAACTCGAAACTGGTGAAAAACAAGAAGTGTTGTGCAACACTAAAAAGGGGTTGGAAAGCATTCAGAAATGATGAGGTTTAAGGCTGGGTCATCTACCATGAAGACCACTGAAAATTAAGCTAGTCAAGGAAATGTAGTTTCTCCTTCCTAGCACTAAGACCCAACCTCACCAAAAGGAGATGTTTTGGGACTGAACTCCACCACACAGATGCCCACTGCTGAAAAGCAGCATGTGTTTATTTCTAACAGAGCAAGCTGAATTGCAACACAGCTTCTCATTTGTCATGTTAACACCTCTTTAGGTTTTCCACAGATACGGTTTTTGCTTTGTTTCGGTTTTTTTAACAGTAAAGGCCACTACTCCTTTTAGAACTCAGGTCTTACCTTCACAGAAAATACTGTTCCTCCTTTGGGTGTGAAAGAATTAAACAGAGCCAGCAAATCCTTAGCCTTCAACCTATCCCAATCCATATTACAAACTGCCAATCTACTTGTAATCTGAAAAAAAAGGGGGGAAAAAAGAAAGGAAATAGGTTTAATTCCCAACTGCTATGGGGAATACATAATTGTCTAGCAGTTAGCCTTGGTAGAAATCAGACATAACAAACTCTGCTGAAAAAATAAAAGAAGCATTTTCCCCAAGGCCTTGTATCACTTGAACTAGCAAAGCTCAGAAGCAGCAATTACCAGAGCACATTAGAAGGACATAAGCAGTGATGCATCTCAGAATGGACAGCACCGATCACAGATTTAGGACTGCAGCTGCAAGATCAGCATTTAGGATTTTGTTATCGTAGTCTCAATAGCAACTAGTATCACAGTATTGGAACAACACTAGAGTACTGCGATTTCTTATACACTGACTGTTCGCAGTTTTAGACTCCTACTTCACGGTCTAATGACTTCTTAATTTCTTAAAGCATAAGTTAAAACACTAAACAAAAAAAAGGTAAAAAAATCAGTAATGTACAAAAGCAGTAATATTTAAACTCTAGAATTTCTGAAAAGCTCAATTCTGTTCATTCCCAGACAATTTCATCATCACTTGATTCAGTAACTAAAAGCCTGAAAAGACACTGCAAAAATAATTCCACAGACTGTTTCATAGCAACATCACGAGCAGCGTTTCACAAACAGTATCATTACCTCATCTGCACAGGGGGCATCTTTATCTAGCTCACGCCATGAATGCTCTATCTCTGGCTCCTTTGGAAACAGTTCATTTAAATCCTCATCATCCTCTGAGCTCGTTTCAATATTCCCTATACCTCTAGCTAAATCAGGACCAGTATCGCTTTCTTCATCATCTTCTGAATCGCTGTCTTCTTCACCTGTTTCCCCATCATCTTCTGACTCCTCATCCTCACCCGTTTCCTCATCATCTTCTGACTCCTCTTCTTCTGACTCTGCACGCTCAGAATCATCGTTCGCACAACTTTCTTCTTCTAATTGGCTTTTAACGATGTCACGTTGATCACGGGTGTCTGAGCATTCAGCCACTGAAAGATAAACATTACGTACTTATTTTTATGTTGTAATTACATATGATCCTTTACAAAGAGGAAAAAAACTCAGATATACAGAACCCCTGAAATGTTTAACCATGCAGGAACAAATTGCATCAGGAAGTGGAAACAACGTAAATCATATCATTGGCTTGGTGCTGCCATCTTTATGCTTTCAGTCAACAAGTGTTGATATGTTTAAGCCTTCAGGGTATCAGACCTTATATTTGATATTCAGTTTGATAAAGAACGTATACACTTACTTTTTAACCACCGTAACAATTTCAGCTCCAACAATTAAAAGGCCATGTATGTTCACATATGTTTAAGCCTTCAGGGTATCAGACCTTATATTTGATATTCAGTTTGATAAAGAACGTATACGCTTACTTTTTAACCACCGTAACAACAATTTCAGCTCCAACAATTAATAGGCCATGGATGTTCACAATCTTACTGAAGAATCAGCGCTGATTCCGTGAAGAGCCCCCCAACTCCAATGCTTTAGCAACACCACATCCAAGTTAGTCAGCGATTTTATGACTGTTCTTGCAAAAGATTTTCCAGAAACAAACCAAAAGCAACAATATCCAAGTAAACATAGCCCAATTCTAGTTGCTATTTGAACAACAAACCTGATTGTTTTATTTTTCCTCCTAAGGAAGTGTCCCTCCTGGGAGCTTTAACTGATTTAGTACCCCCTGGTTGTGAAGACTTTTGCTTGTTTTGAATAAAAATTGATCTTCCTCCCGGCACATCTCCTTGCTCATTTTCCCCTTCATGTAAAAGGCTCTTGTTTTCCTGAGAGCGATCAATTTCTGCTGCAGTTTTCTTGGAGTCCTCTTTCAAGTTGAAGTTAGATGCAATATTCTGTCCTTCATTTTTAAGGTCATCTAGTTTTGTCGCTGCTTGGCATGTTTGGTCCACCCCTGCTTTGTTTATTTTGCTCTTCTCCCTCGAGAGACCATCAACAAGTAGTTTTGCAGAATCTGCTTCTCCTTTAGGTTTAGCTTTTTTTTTCTTTTTCTTCTTTTCAGTATGCTCCTTGCTATCATTTTCTGAAAGATCAGAGTCAGATTCTGACAGAGCATAAAGTTTCCTGAGATTCTCTGTAGAAGTATAGCTAACGGGGCGACCTCTTTTATCCACTGTACATTTCAGCTTAAACTTTTGGTCATAAAACATAGCCCGGAATCGTTTGTCAATCTTGACTTTACGTTCTTTTTCTGGCATCTCCCAAAATCTGGGATCCCTGGCAATGCAACTAAACCGCCCATCTCGCAATATTTCCTCTTGGGATGACATTTTTGATGCTGTTGAAGACTTGGACATCTAAAATATGGAAAAAAAAAAAATCACACTTCTGATAAACTTGATTAACACAGACCTAGATACATAATTTCAAAAAATAATTAAGCAAAGTTTTAACTCAGACCTATACAGTTCCTTCCTAAAGCACATATGGCAACTTAGGTGAGTCACAAATAATGCTGTAACTAGCAGTCTTGACACACATCTTCCCCTGATACCGGATATAGAGCTACAAAGACCATGCCGGCTACACACATACAGCCTTAAGCGATTCCCTGTCCACCCCGAACAGGGCCTCAAACGGTTTCGCTGTCAGCCAGCCCTCAGATATGTACTTCCCACAGGACTAGGATACTCCACATTCAAAAGCTCCAGTCAGACACGAAATCAGCAAGAGCCTGATCGTTTTGGCGAGCTCAGGCCAGTGCCTGCGGCAGCTTCGACGCAGGCAGCGGCTCGACGCGGCCGGGCAGCAGAGCGGCACCCCACTGCCTCCCCAACCCCAGCGAC